TTTCGGTCTATATAAATTGATTTTTAAAGAGATCTTTGTTAGTGAATTAACAACTTTAGTAAGAAGAAATTGTTATTAAGTTGACAATTGCAACTATTAAGAACCAAAGTAACATAAGTTATCCGGATTAAACTTAATATTTACTTTGTGTATAATATATGTAGGACATGTCATAGGTTCAATTAAGAAAAATTCATGATTTATGGGTGTAGACTGTAGAGGAATGGGCATTTGATCTTAACCAACACTTTTTTATTATTATTATTATTGTACTGTGGACTATGTATGCTGCATATTAAAGGAAGGGGATGAATTTTCTTATACTGCAGTTGATAACACTATTTTCCAGCAGATATAATCGTATGCGGGTCCCATCATTTATCATTAAAGAAAATAAAAAACAAAAAAGTCAAAAGTCAATCTCTCTCTGCCGGAGTTACTATTCACATTCCTGCGGATGGAGAATAGTATTTCCGTTAAAGGAATCATTCTCCTGTTTACCAAAAAAAAAAAATCATTCTCCCGCTGCCAGCACAATTAACGGGAGGAAGGCCTTAGTAATATAGTAGTTACAAAATCAAAAGGACCAAGTATATACGTGGTTTGATAATGGACCCCAAAAGTAGAAGCATTTCATAAGCTGGGCTTCTAGTTCTCTTTGAAACTTGGGCCAATATATTTTTTTTTTTTTCCTCCCATTCATTTTTGGATAATATATCTCTCGTGTTGTCATTGGAAAAACATATCACCTACAATAGATTCAGTGAAAATTGCATATATATTTTTAAAACTATGTGGATTCCACATATCATTTGTCTATGCAACTGAAGACAACTTGTCTTTTACTGCATAAGGATAATATCTCTCTCTTATTTTTTAATAAAAAAATATATTTAAGGTAAATTTTGATCATTATAAGTTTCATTCTTTTGAGTTTTAAATCTTGTAATTTTTGAGTATGTATAGATACAAATGAAAATATATAAGAACTATTTACTTGTGATAACAGTGCACGAACTAACCCCCAAATAAATGAAAAATTTGAGAATCAATTTTCAATAATAAAGATAAAAAAAAAACCAAATCAATGACATCTATTCACTAAACCATTACATTTGTCTCCCTTCCATCACATCCACCCCAACCATGGAATGTATGGCGTCCATTCTCTAGCTTGCGGTGGCAATAATACAGGATCCTGACTAGCTCAAGCCCATATTGTCGAGCCTTGGGTCCAAGCTAACTTAATGAACTGAAAAGTTGTTGCATTTCTTACCTTATTTAGTTATCGATTTTTGACTTGCATGTGCAGATTTAATAATAGCTTAATCACGATTTTCCTTGCTATTTTTCCTTGTTAGCCGTGAATCTTGCTTACTATAATGGCCTGATTTCTATGTTATTTGGGCTTAAGACTAGTTATAAGTGAAGGCTAATGGGCCAAATAGTACCAATGCAGCCCAGTAAGATAAAAGTAAGAAAAAGATGTGATTTGATGATTTACTTATCTCTATTACTATTTTACTGTAGTTAAAGAGTCACATGGGTTACTTTTTGGAAGTGAAAGGAGAAAGTTGGACCGTAGATGAAACTTAATCGAATGGCTAGCAATTATCCTGGATTTAGTTTTTAGTTTTTAGTTAGGAATTGTAAAAAGAAAGTCTTCGATCTTAAGTTGAGAATTAGATAGGAAAAGTTAGTAAGGGTCTCTTTGATTGATTTCTGTTTTGGAAAACAATTTTTTAGTTTACACAACAAAAAAACAAAAAAACTCGATTGGTAAGATCTGTTTTGTAAAAAATGTTTTGAAAACTATAACTGTTTTTTTGTTTTTAAAATCAAATTTAGAGAACATGTTTGAGTTGTTTTTGTTTTCCATTTTGGTTTTTAACTTTCAAAAAGAAAAAAATATAGAAAAAAAAAACTGTTTCCATAACTATTTTACAAAACAGTTTTAAGAAAAAAAAAAAACAGAACACAATCAAACAGCCCCTAAGTTCCAGTCTTTCGCTTTTAGTTTTTCATTGAAGAGGAAGAATGCCATAGGAGAACTTCTTGGAAGCACTCAAGAAGACCAGTGACTCACGTGTAGTTTTGAGCTTTCAGCACTCTTTTACCAGTGTATTTCAGTTTCTGTACCTTTTCATTTCGAAGCTTATGGTCTGTATCTGATCTACAATCTCTTTTAGAATTTTTCAATGCATGTTAATTTTCATTTCAGATTTTATTTTCGTTTTATTGTAGCTATAGCTTTTCAAGTTTCTTCGTGGGAATCTAAAAGATTGGAGAATACATTATTTTTTAATACTCATGCATGATTTTTACAATTTGATTAACAAGATTATTAGCTTTAAGAAACCATGGAAATGGAGCTTGAACATTCTTTTTCATGATTCTGTAATTGGAAAATTAGAAGGTTGTGATGTTTTGTTAATTGAACCATTCAATTTCAAAGGTTAGGGATAACTTGAAGTGAAAATTCATCCTTATACATTAAAAATCTGATTTAAATACCTTGAGAAAGAATTTAATTGGGTTTGAACAATTGGAATTGGAAAATTCCAATAAGTGCTTCAGATGTTGAATTTTTGTGAGAAAAGTGCTACAACATGTAAAATGCAAGAATGCAACTTATTAAAGGAAAATCCATGATTTTAGAAACCCAGGACTTTATTTCTTGTTATTCGCTGCATTGATATTACAATTTCCTTTATTGAATCTTTTTTGATTGAAAATTTAGGCAGTTAATAATTGCCAGAATTAAAAGTATATTTCTTGCAATTCAAGAAAGATTAAAATAGGATTTTTAAAGAAAACTAAAACAATCGTTCCCTGTCGACGATCTTTAAACTTTGAATGCATATACTACTACTGTGTTGTTAGCATAGGACTTAGCAAATTAATTTTTTTGTTTGAGGGAAATTTTAATCTTAACAAAATGGCGTCGTTGTTAGGGATCGGTGTTTGATTTAGTTTCCTTTTGAAATTGTGTCTTTTAGTTCTTGAATTTGTTTTCTTTCTTTTTCATTTTAGTTTCAGTTAAACTCTAATATTTTTGTAAATTTTACAGGTTACTAAAAAAAATAGGGACAATTTTCGTGTTCTGCCAAATCCGTAGAAGAAATCAAAAGTAAAAGTTTGGTTGTTAAACACTCCAAAAGGGAAACACAATGGCATGGAGGAATGAAATTTATGATACAAGTTTCATACACGAAGTCAATGAAACAACTTCATTGGTAGCTGAACTCGCAATATGCAAAACACGATGAAGAACCAGTGACTTATAATTTTGAGCTTTCAGTACTCTTTTGCAAGCGTATTTCAGTTTCTGTACCTTTTCATTTCGAAGCTTATGGTCTGTATCTAATCTACAATCTCTATTGGAATTGTTCTATGCATGTTAATTTTCATTTCAGATTTTATTTTGGTTTTACTGTAGCTATGGCTTTTTAAGTTTCTTTATGAGAATCTAAAAGATTGGAAAATACCTTTATTTTTTAATACTCCGTGCATGATTTTTACAATGTGATTAACAAGACTATTAGCTTTAAGAAACCATGGAAATGGAGTTTGAACATTCTTTTTCATGATTCTGTAATTGGAAAATTAGAATATTGTGATGTTTTTTTAATTGAACCCTTAAAAGGTTAGGGATAACAACTGAAAATTCATCCTTAGACATTAAAAATCTTATTTAAATATCTTGGGAAAGGATTTAATTGGGTTTGAATAACTGGAATTGGGAAATTTCAATAAGTGCTTCAGATATTGAATTTTTATGAGAAACGTGTTGCAGTATGCAAAATGCAGGAATGCAACTTATTAAAGGGAAATTCATTACTTTAGAAACCTATGACTTTATTTCTTGTTATTCGCTTAATTGATATTACAATTTCCTTTATTGAATCTTTTTTGATTGAAAATTTAAGTAGTTAGTTCTTTTAGAGCAGAGTTGTGGGGTGTGCTTAGCGGGCTGGAATTAGTTTGGAATTCTGGTCACCGTAATGTTATAATTGAAAGTGATTCAACTTGTGTTATCACTGTGCTCACCTCCCAGGGTGCAGCAGAGCTCGTGAGAGTCAGTTGATTTCTCGGATTCGAGCATGGATTCAAAAAGATTTGTCGATTAGTTTCAACCACACGTTCAGGGAAGGAAATGCTTGTGCGAATTGGATGAAAAGTTTTATCTTGGAGCATGATGAGGATGTGCAATATCTTTTTTGTGAAGAACCACCACCTGGCATTCACGTTATTTATCTAGCTGGTCTTACAAGAGTGGGAAGACCGTGAGCTTTGGTGATCCAGTGGCTTCTGTTTCTGTTTTGGTGTTTTGTCTTTGTCTTTATTTTGATTTTTTGGGCTCTAGCCCTGTTGGATAAAAAAAAGTAAATTTCTTGCAATTCAAGAAAGATTAAAATAGGTTTTTTAAAGAAAACTAAAACAATCGTGGAACAGTGACCAAAATGTCACTGTTCACCAACTTTTTTACCTAAATGCCACGCGAACAGTGTTATTTTCCAATCTGCCATGGGGCAAGTTCGCTACCCGGTGTAACGAACTCGGTTTGCTGACGTGTCACGTTTCTAGTGGACACCAAGTTCGCTACACGGGGTAGCGAACTTCACACCTTTTTTTTTTTTAACTTGATACTTGTTATCCACTAGAAATGTGACACGTCAGCAAACTGAGTTCGCTACACCGGGTAGTGAACTTGCCCCCGTGGCAGATTGGAAAATAACACTGTTCGGGTGGCATTTAGATAAAAAAGTTGATGAAGAGTGACATTTTGATCAGGCTTCCAACAATCGTTCGCTGTAGACGATCTTTATACTTTGAATGCATATACTATTACTGTGTTGTTAGCACTGGACTTCGCAAATTAATTTTTCTGTTTGAGAGAAATTTTAATCCTAACATTCCTCTTTAGAATTGAACCTCTGAAGTTGATATACAATGAATAAAAAATGTGAAAGTAAAAACAAACTTCATATATATCCAGGTCAAATACTACAAGAATCATTTTCACAATCCAAATTCCTTGTCGTTATCTTATAGTCACTACCAAACAAAAATTGTTAAAATTGATTAAAAAGAAGAGGGAGGGAGGGTCATTGTTATTTAATAACAGCAGAGAGAATCAAACATCATTGAATCCCAATTTAACCTTGTAAGGGATCAAAAAAATATTCAACCACAGACAATCGTGAAGAACTAGGCCAAGGAACGTGGACCCTCACCATTTTATCCTCGTAATCAAACTTCACAGCTACCCCATCTATTTTACAACTAACTGGCTTCTCTGAAGCGAACACCCTCATCTCCCCACAACCCCTTACCCCAATTTTGGCCACGTTCGCGTTGTCGTCAAACTCCAGGGACTGAATGGCACCACCAGAGTTAAGCATGTTCACTAATCCAATTGGAGCAAATTGAATTAACCTTTTCGACAATACTATCACTGGAGACACCGTCAATAGCTCAAAACTAAATGGTTCGAGTGAAACTTCCAATTTGTCCGAGGATTTCATGAGCTTGAGCTTGTCCTCCTTGAACATGTACACAGCAAACACATCCACCCCTTTGATGCATATTGGACGTTTCCCATTGCTCCATTCAATATCTTTGGGACTCGCAGAGCATGTCACAGCGTGTGAAAATTCAGAACCACTCTTGTTTCGCCGAGTCACAGGACACCACCCACCTCCTTGGCAATTAAATAAGCCCAAAACACCCGTGTACTGTACAAACAGAACAAAAGGGGTTATATAATTAAGCGTTCCATTTGAATTATCTCGTATTAGGAATGATATATAGTTATATTGGTAAAAAAAAAAAAAATTTAATATTATAAGCGTAGTACATAGTTATTTTTCTTCTTCTTTTGTCGAACCAGAAGAGTGGTAAAATTGTTCTTCCATGACTGAAAGGTCATGGATTTAAATCTAGGAAATAACTTTTTTGCAATTATATAATAGTAAGGCTGCGTATAAGAATTTTTTTCCTCCCATACTCACTAATTGGGTTTAACGGGGAAAGATTTTCCTTTCCATCAATAAAAAATGATTATCCTATAATTAATCCCCATTGGGGAAAAAGTTGAGGTATATCATAAGGGTCGGTTATATTTACAAATTTTTTTATTTACAAACCGACACTATGTTCTTCTGGGAGAACACTAGTTTCATTATATTCCTTCCGAGATAACATAGTGTAATTTGTAAAAAAAATTCAAAAAAATTTATAAATTGATGTTTCCCCGTATCATAGAATTAAGAAGAGAGGGGTGTCTTACTTTGTTGAGATTCCAAATTTTGAGCATTGTTTTGCCGTCATGTAATGGGTCTTCAAATAAGCAGTCACGTGTGGGAAGTGCATGATATTGACAACGCAAAATAGACCCATCAGGCAAAACGAGTGTCTTGAGCAACTTGAAGTTGTGCTTTCCAACGCAATCGCTAACATAAATTGGTCCACCAGAGATGGCCCTAGAGGCAGCATGGAATTCGGCACATGGATGAGTAGATTGGAACATGTCCCAATCTGGTTGAATAAAATTTCCCATCCATAAGCTGTTGTAGGCGCAATGCACCATGTGACACCCTTGCAGCCAATACGTACCATTTGGGTCTCCATTGGGATCAGTGCACCAAAAATCATCTCCTACACAATACGCATTGTTGAGAAAGAATGGATCAGAAAACTTTATGGAGAATTTTTATGTATAAAAAGCTTGGAACTTGGAATGCTTAATTACCTACGCGACCAAAGGCTATGGCTTCTGTGCCCAAGAGAAAGAAGTCATTACAATGCTCCATGCTGGCAATTACTCCATTGCCTTTGAAATGCTTCTTCACCGAAGCTGTGAGTGCTTTGTAATAAGCTTTGGCCAGCTCAATTCGGCCACCGTATTCCTCTGATAACATCTCTAGCAACTGCAAAATGCAATTACCAAATATTACACTTGAAATCATCTAAATAAATTATCAATATCTCTAGAACGAATTTTAAGCTTTTGATTTGAATTAATTTTTTACGCACGTAACGGTTTCGATCCTCACCGTCCTCTATTTGATTAATAATTAATTAAGTTTTGTGGAATTTGTTAGTACAAATAAATTGTATTTGATGCATCATTTATCTTTCAAACTCAATGTGGACTCTCGTACGTGAAAGAGCGTGTTATATATTAAAAAACAATCACTAATGTAACTTCATCCACCAATTTAATTGAATTGAATTGGTTCTTTACAATATTCTAGATTCACTTATTTTTAGACAAAATTCGTTGTCTAACAGCATTCTCATAAAAATTATAAGGTGTTGTTTATTTCCAAACTCAATTCTCAAATCCAAGAAAAAAAACAAGGAAAGAAATTATGTAACACAATTTCTGTAACAAAGAAAGTATCAAAGGAAGTTGAATCTCGTTGATATGTGGCCCTAACCATAAGAGGCAAGGAAAAGAGACACTTTTAATGACAAACCGTTTATAGCAGATACAAGTTTCAACCCTGCAATTACAACCACCGCAGCTGTGCATGTATATGGAATTTCTAGGTAAATGTAATATTCCTCTTAGTAAATGTCACAATTATTTTTCACATAATTAGAAGTGCACAAAATCCAAGAGTTCCCTTTTTTAAGGTTGAGAGTTCAAACAACCTAATATAAATATCGTTGTTTTGTGAATTATTTCCTAATAAAGTCATCTAAATTCTAAAGTGCGTATTCACTAATATTTAACCTTTTACCACAAAACAAATGAGTATGAAGTCAACCACCGTTAACAGGTTTTAGTTCATCGTATTCGCATTTGCCTTGTCGAAGGCAACTATTGTAGCATACTAAAAACAAAAACACAACGGTAGCCAAACTAAAAAAGATGAGCCGTGCAAGACAAGAAATTAGTAATTTGGATGAGAACTTAAATTTAAGAAGAAGAAAAAAATGTTTAAAAAATATTTCTGATTTTTAGTTCAAAAAATTAATTTTAAAGTAACAATTTTGCTCCACAAAGACCATAATCATTTTTCTAAAATTCTTTTAAAAATATATAGAAAAATTAATTTTTCTTGTCAAAACGTGCAAAATCGTCCCCTTAACATCCATAATCATGTGTATCACTATTTGATAAGTATCTTACTTAAATTAAGATGATCAGTAAGACAGTACCTACTATTCAAATTAAAAAAGAAAATTATGTTTTGTATAGAAAAATCATTTTAAAAAAAAATTAGCATAAGAGTACTTACGTGTATAACATCAACCTTGACACCGTCAATTCCCGCCGATTCCAAATGGGAGTGCAGCCCCTCATACATGCGGTGAGCTAGCTGCGGTGGCACCAACCCAACACCGTTGTTAACGATCTTATCCACCGCCAGATCCTCCATTGTCATCCGCAACCCCTCCGACATCTTCGGAGCAATTACCTTAGCCTCAGGCATGCCTGGCACATTGGGTCTAATCCCACCCCAATAACCACAAAGCGCGTGCCAAACATACACGTGTTCCACGCTCTGAAACTGTTCCTTCAGGTCCCTAACAAAGGCACCCATACCTTTCTTAGAGGTCACTCCAAAGGGACTACGGTACTCCCTGAATTTGTAATTTTCCTCAAACTTTATGAGCCTGCAAGGCATTTGTTCCCCTGCAGAGGTTCGGTCGATCATGCCTTCTTGGTCCTCCGTTATTGGGTCCTCATCGTGACAAATTGATTGCCACCCATCATCGATTAGTACCATCCCCGGAGGACACCCACCCTCCACGAGTCCCTTAACCCCTTCCCAAACCCCTTTGGGGTCCACCTTCAAGTAAAACGCATCCCACGTGCACCAACCAAACTTATCTACAATCCCTGGTGGGGTTTTCTCTTCGAGAAGCTTGAAAGTCCCCAAGTGGACCCTAACGACTTTCATTGCCTCTTTCACCAAACGGTAAGGGTCATCGCCAACGTGCATGTACAAACAGCTTTTGAAGTGGGACCCACATACACGTGTTGAGCCACTCTCCATGCAAATGTCCACGTTGTCGTTCAACCCGGGTTGTAAAGAGGCTCGGAAGGACCCTTCGATTATTGGCAATATCAAAACGTAAGGTCGTCCCGTGTCGTTTTTGTCCAAGATTATCATCTGCGTTTCGTTCTCCACCTCGTGTCCATTGCTTCCGACCCAGTGAGTGGTCCACCACACCTTGAACCTGAATATGCTCATGAACCTAATGTCCCTTAGCTTCCCAACGGGAACCACGTGCCGGCTTTTCTGTTCGTTTGCGTCGAACCCCACGAAGCAACCCACCGTGTTCTTGGTTTTTAAAGAAAGAGAAGATGAAGGGGTGGCTACTATGTTAGCAGGGACTTCTGTAAGAAAAGGGTGTCCATTAGCAAGAAAACTTGATCCTTCTAAGGTTATGGAGAATGGTAAATTACTACCATTTACGAGCCCCATTATGTCTAGGGCCGCATTTTTGCTTAAGATGGGAGCCATGATAATAGGGTAATTAAGCTTGCTAGCTTTAATCAATGGAAGGTTAAGGCAACAACTTGTATGTCTTATGAGTATGAATGCTTAATTTGGGAAATCTCTGGGAGAAAGGAGATTTTGATGCTTGAGTTAACTATGGTTGGTATTTGGTAGCTAGCGTGGTGGGTTTATATAGAAAAGGCTATATAGTTATTTGCCTAAGGCTGTGCTTCTTTGAATCGTCGGTGGTACATTCTAGTGACAACCTTAGCAATAGATACTGTGACATCCAAACAAAATATAGTTACTCCATATGTTATATCTACAAACTTTTTTTCTTACAAACCTACAAAGTACAATAAATCTAACTAGTTATATATTTTTCATAATTGAAATTTGATTAGTCATACTTAGTATAATTTGTAAATTTATAAAAAAAAATATTTGTCAATATAACCTTCCAACTAGTTATTATATCATCTTCAACAACGCTTTAATTTATTTTTCCATTGAAGCAGGTGAAAAACATTGAATTTTGTTTTCTACCTAGTTTGTTTTAAAAAAAAAACTTTACTGCATGCAAGATTGCATGGCCATGCTTAATTCCCATCAACTTCGTCTCATATTCTGCAACTAATTTTGGGAATGTAGAATGATTCACTAGTACAAGTAACAGTACAATAGCCTTGCGGTTAAACAAAAAAAGAAGAAAAATAGGATGCTACGGTTTTTTTTATTTTGTTCTGATTTTTTTATTTTTAAAATTATTTTCTAGAATAATTAATAAAATAAATATTTTTTATGTTTTTTTATTTTAAATATTGAAAGTTAAAATAAAAAACAAAAATAACTCAAATATATTCTATAAATTTGATTAAAAAAAGCAGTTAAAAATTTTAAAAACTTTAACAAAAAAATTATCAAACAGATTTTTTTTAAAAAAAATTAAAAAATTATTTTTCAAAGCAGATTTCAAGCATGCTCTATACATTGCCAATGCCACGAGACCATGACAAACAAAGGACGTTTCTGGAACGTGGGGTACAATCGTCAACCACTAAGCAAAGAAAAATTGGTCCCAAGAAGCAAGTAAGAACAATTAAGACAATCACCAATTGTCAAAGGTGGGGTCCACCTCGAGTCATCAACCGTCAACCGTCTACCGTCTACCGTTTGGTTGTAAAATATATTTTTATTCCATTCACCAATGCCGGCTATTCTGGTCCAGAACTCTCGTTACTTTTCTGGATGTTTTCTACGGGGTGTTCGCGGTCTGGATTGGATCGATTTTAGAAGTAAAAATTATCTGATCCAATCCCTTCGGTTTCATCGTATAATCATCCATTCGGTTTGAATTTTTTTTCAAATCCGATCTAATCCGATCCAATTTTTTTCGATTTGGATTGGATCGATTTTTGATTTTTTGAAAATCCTAAAATTTATTTCATGATTATTGTGCAAATAACATCTTTTGTATATATTGTCTTTGTAAATTATTATTTTTTGAAATACAAAAGCATTAGTAAACTATAATATAGTTTTTTTTTTTGGACAATGAGATATGAAGCTCTACAAAGATAAAATTTTGTTGATGAGATGTGATTATATTTTTTCTTGGGTTTAGTTAATGGGTCTTGGGTTTAGAAATTTTTAGGTTATGATTAGGGAAAGATCCAAGTAGGTAGAGGGGAATTAATATATTGGATCGGTTTTCATCAACCCATCCAAAAACCGATCCAATCCAATTAAAATTTGCGTTTTTTTTTTCGGTTTTCGATTTTTCGATTTTTGATTTATTCGGTTTTCGATTTTTCGATTCGGTTACCGCGGTTTGAATCGGTTTGGATCGGTTGCTGAACACCCCTAATGTTTCCTAACTTGTTTTAGGTTTTATATTTGGAAAAAAATTGTCATTTTAAATAGTAAAAAAAATGTGTGTTATTTTAAATGAGGTAAAATTGTGTCATTTTAATAGAGAAAAAGAGATAGATAAAAAAAGAGAGAGTTAATAAAAAAAAAAAAGTATGGGTCTCACCTCTTTGTGAAAGTAAAAGGATATAAGTTGTGTCGTTTAAAAGGATAAACATTTTTTTCTTAAATAAATGATACAAAGAGATGGGACCATATCTTTAAAAAAAAAAATTCATGTCTTTTTCTCATGATTTTTTTTTTCTTATTTTAAATGACACAACTTTATATCCTTTTAAATGCTACACACTCTCCCCTTTATATTTTCCTTTTTCCTTGCTTGGCAACAAGCTTCTTTTTTTTTTTTTTTTAATTTATGCTATATTACTATTCCCGTTGGCTTCGTTTATTGCTTTTAGGAAATCATTTTTTTTATCTATATTCTGGAATGGTATGGACTATTTTTAGTGATAATATTTCAGGAACAGCTCTTGCTCTCGTTGTTATTTAATGTTACATCAGCTGATTAATTTATTTAATTTTAATAACAAAGTACTTAACCATTCAAGGAAGATAATTCCCAAATGTTTTAGCCTTGGCAAATTTGCTGGTCACATTTCCACGATATGAAATCCCAACCTTTGAAATCTGTTTCCAAAAAACAGTTTTTTGAATTTTCGAAAATAAAATAAAAAAATATGTTAGATAAGGTCTGTGTTGCAAAAAAAATAAAAAAATTTAACTGTTTATTTTACTTTTGGAATCAAATTTAGAGAATATATTTGAATTGTTTCTATTTTGTGTTCTAAGTTTTAACTTTAAAAAAAATACACATTTTTATTAAGTATTTTACAAAATAGATTTAAGAAAGAAAATCAAAACGGACCCTTTATTATTTTTCTTTTAAAAGTAGGTAGTTGCGCCGCTCACTCACATTTTTTTTATTCTTTTATTTTGGTTGAATGACATTTGTTTTAGTAAATCTAAATGAGGGAGTAACCGGCACTGTTTTCTACCACTAATAGATTGGCTTTTTTACGAGAATATTTACTTTAACTTTAATTTAAAAGAAGGGAAAAACTACTATTATGGAATATAAGAGTAATTTTATCTTCTACAGATTCATCAAAAATTGTGATATTCTTTTTGGGCTCGTTTTTTCTACAGTCAATATAGATAACTTATCTACAGTGAGCCCAAAACGACATCGTTTTGAGGCTGAAATCAAAGTATTTTTGTAATTATAATTTATGTCAGGGTTATAATAGTCTTTTTCATTATAAGTCGTTTTGGGAATGAATGTAGATAACTTATCTACATTCACTTTAGAAACATTAAAGCCACTCTTTTATTTACAAATGACGGGCCCCACCACATATGTGTTTCCAACATGAGAGAATATCTCTCATGCAACATGAGATTAGATGAACTCTTAAAAGAATTATGTCGCAACATTACTTTTTTAAAAGATGTTTATTATGGCTTTAATGTTTCTAAAGTGAATGTAGATAAGTTATCTATAGTCACTCTCAAAAAGATGATGTTTTAGGTTGAAAAATTTAAAAATTATAATAAAAAAGACTATTCTAACCTTGAAATAAATTATAATTATAATAATACTTTGATTTTTGTCTCAAAATAATATCATTTTAGACTCGAAGTTATCTATTATTTGTAGTATTAGAAAGTTTGTTTTTCGCTAATCAATTTGTCGATGTTATTTTAAAAAGGAAACTGTCCTAAGAAGTCAGTTTTTTCAAATTGACTTCTCAATTTATTTTTATATATATTGAAAAATGAAAAAAATATATGCTAGTTCTCAGTGTGTTATTAAAAAACATTTCATAATGTCAGTTTACGAAAAATAACTTCTAAATATATATAATGAAAAATTGATTTTAAAAGAACTGATTTCTTAATATTGTTTTTAAAAATTATTTGGAAGTTGATTTAAGAAAAATCAGGTTCTCCGTTCTCAATACAACAAAAAAAAAAAACATTTAAAAAATAATATTTAAACATTAGTATTTGGGGAATTAAAGTTAAAAACAATAAGTTTAGCTAGAAGAAAGACCTAGAGATTTCTAGTAAACTCTAGTTTGCCGAAGGAGACCTGACAAAAAAGAAAAGACAAAATGTCCCGATTAGCTGGCGAGAGTATTTATAAATATTTTAAAAAATTACTATGTATAACACATTTTAATTGAAATAAGGATCAATGTAAAAATTGATATAAAATTTCGTACTTTTAATCAATCAAGATTAACTCTTTCATTTTTAACTCTATCAATATTTGAAGATTATTTATTATCTGAAATTTTTCGTGAATTTGTTGTTTGGTTGAACTGAGAATCTTAAGACTTTCATGCTACCTTAATTATGTAGGAAATCTTAGATTTATGCGGAAGCGGTTTAGGACCTAGTACATTGGTATGCTTACCGAATCATCCTTATTTCACAATTACCTCTCGGTGCGCAGGTCTCGTGTAGAATCTTCCCTTGTAGGATTCCTCTTCACGAACAGCTCACCTCAGCGCCGCAGCACGAACAACCTCCTTGAAGCTGGACTGTGGCAGATCTTCCAGACTATCTCTCGAGGAGGATGAGATGGTTGTGTGGGTAACCGTTCAGATGATGAACGTCTGCCTCTTGGGGTTTGTTTCTGATGATCTGTTCACCTTGGAGGCACAAGTAGGAGAAAACTATGAATATATACCTTAGGTCTTAGACATAACTCAACCCTAAGCCTCATGGGCTCAAGTGTCACTGAAGCCCAATAGGACCTTAGTGACCAAAGAGCATATATCCAACAATCTCCCACTTGCTCTTTAATATACAAACTTGAGTTCGTAAACCCAAGACCATGTAGCCCATAAGCTATCATCATCTGATAATATACCCCATCCCTTGTCTCGAGCTAGCCTGGGGACCTACCATTTGTCATTGATCAAGGCTCCTGATAATCTTTACAAGATTATCTAATTCAGTGCTACTCCACTAAAAACCCGAACGTGAACTCCAAGAATAATGACATTTATAACATTAATATGCATTGCCCCTTTATAGAATGTCTATAATTCATTGATTAGTTTTCTGTAACCCAATCAATTATTTATTCCCTTGACTTTGATAATTTCTCTAATGGATTACATGCACTGGCCAGTGTCTTTAATATCCAAGTACCGAAATATATCAAGGGGACATTTCCTATAAATTCCTTGTTGTTTATC